AAAAGAAAAGAAAAAGTACACCACTCTTGAATGTTGCATGTTGAGTGTTGTGGGAGGTTTTTCTTTTTCTTTCTTTCTTTCTTTTTCTTTTTTTTTTAAAATGGAAACTGAGTTGATAATTTAGGAAGAGCCAAGTAAATTGTGGTGAAGCCCTCAGTTCAGTTGGCCTTTCCAATTCTTGACTATCTGTGAGCTCTTTAGTTTGAAGAAATTGAGTCACCTCAAAATGGCAGTAGCTTTTCCTCTCCTCCAAATTGGTATCACTCAGCAAGACAAATGAAATCATTACACCTAGGGCTTTAATCTATATCTTCGAAACCTCCAGAATGAAAACTGCCGAACCTTCTAACCAAATTTTAGGATACATTCAACTCTTAAATGCAATGTTCCCCCCCTCAATAGTATGTTGTCTGATATCCCCCTGTCATTTCCTCATTTCCTTCACTTATCTACTAGCTGGCTCCTCCCTGTTTTCCCCTAATTGGGTCCTCTCTATCCTTTTGCATTCTCTAATCTCTATGGCACTTACTGTTTAGAGTACATTGATGTATTTCTCTTTTCGTGTTTACATATATCCTTCCCTAACATATTATTTTTCTATCTTGGATTTTCTTAAGCACTGTCTCTGACTGAATGCTTTTCTTTTTTCATTATCTTATCCTTCGTTAGGTATTCAGCTTACGTTTAAAAAAAAAAAAAAAATCACTAATGGGTAAATGAATTCTGGCTCCGATAGGGCAAAACCAGAATACTAGTCACTTTGCCTTCTTCCAGCTCCTACCCCTAATAGCATGATGTCTTTGCTTTTCATTTACTTTTCAGTTCTTTTCTTCCTTTACACATGCTACATAATGTTGCCAGTGTCTCTGATCAGATCCTTTGACGAGAAGTCCTAGTAAATTGATCTTCACTTGCAAAAGATTTTACAGGACCTCATGAATTTTGTTAAATCCATCTGATTCTCTATTTGAAAGCATTGTTTCTGGTACCCCAGATTTGAACAGTGTTCTTCCCAGCAGGAGGGACTGTTCTTATGTAGCGTGTCTGGCACACGAAGCTATTCTACAAATATCAGCTCCTGATGATGTTAATGGTGATGGTGATGGTGTGGGTGAGTATTTTGAAGGCAAAAGGACAGAAGTGGGAAGAGAACAGAAACACCAGTAATGAGGTGGGGGTAGTGGGAGAGCGTGAGTCAGGAAGAAATAGCTGCTGGGACAGATGGATTATAACACATGTTAGTTTGTCTTCATCCTCCTGCTTCTGGGTTTTAAAAGGAACCAATAGCACCGCATAAAAGTATCCCAAAGCTGCATTGACTATTTCACCGTCAAACCATCCAGACCACCCATACTCCCCTCTGTCATTCCTTGTGGGTATCGGGGGACACATGCACCTCCATTCTGTTGCCTTCAGTCACCCAACTCAAATGGAGTGGCGGCAGGGAGGGGGATGAAGGATAGGTAGGTAAAAATGGAATGAACATTTAATTAAAGTTCCTGAGTACTTGCCAGATTTAACCTAACCTAAATTCTCTTGGACCCACACACCAAAAAGTGTGAGGACATAATGATGCAGTCCTGTCCTGTCCTTCACTTCTTTAGTCTTTGACCTTTGGGTATGCCCCATCTAGGTCAGATTTGAGCCCCAGGAAAGGCTCCACCTTCTCTCTGAGCCTATTGCTTTTTTTTTTTTCCCAAACAAATTTTCCTGATGTTTTAACCACTTCATTGAAAACCAAGCAAACAAACTAACAAGACACTGTTTTTGTTGTTGTTTGTTCATACTGTTGAGGGAGAACGAAAGGAAGATCCTTATGTAGATGTGTGCTAAATAATCTTTGCATTTCTTTTTTATTCAAGCATGATTGTTGTCATTCTTATGGTGCATGTTTGAGATAGCATTGTAGTACAATAAATTATGAATGGGAAATGATAACTTGCATATGGTAAGTAATGATATAGATTGAGAATCTTTGGAGCAAAGATTTATCATCCTCTTGAGTCCACCATCCAAATACATTTTAAAATTGAGTTCATACTAGGTATTTACTCAAAGGGTACAGAAATACAGATTCAAAGGAATGCATGCACCCGATGTTTATAGCAGCATTATCAATAATACCCAAACTATGGAAAGACCCCAAATGTCCATTGACTGATAAATGGGTAAAGAAGATGTTGTATATTGATACACAATGAATATTCCTCAGCCATCAAAGAGAATGAAATCTTGCCATTTGCAATGACATGGATGGAGCTAGAGCATATTATGCTGAGTGAAATAAGTCAGAGAAAGACAAATACCATGATCTTGCTCATGTGTGGAGTTTAAGAAAGAAAACAGATGAACATATGGGAAGGGGAAAAAGAAAAAAAGGAGAGAGGGAAACAAGCCAGAAAAGACTCTTAATGATAGAGAACAAACTGAAGGTTGATGGAGGTGGGGGTTGGGTGGGGTGGGGGATGGGCTAGATGAGTGATGGGGATTAAGGAGGGCAATTGTTGTGATGAGCCCTGGGTGTTATATGTAAGTGATGAACCCCTGAATTCTACTCCAGAAACCAATATTGCACTGTATGTTAACTACCTAAAATTTAAATTAAAAACAAATAAAATAAATAAGAAAAAAAATTGAGTTCAGTTTAATGATGACTGGAAGTTTTAAAAATAAGTCCGCTTTGATCGGCTTCATTTTCTGTCACTAATGTAAGTAATGGACTTTTTTCCGTTCCTTTTTGTTGTTGTTGTTCTTTCTTGTTTAAAATAATAGAAGAAAAACAAGAGGGAATTAAAAAGCAGAAAGAGAAGTAGCATCTCAGAAATATACAAGCATAGTCACAAAATGGCATTAATTTCCTTTCTGTAGTTCTTGCCTGAGATTTGGGGGGAAAAGATAGGAAAAATGTACACTCTAGTAATGTCACTATAATTGGGGTTAAAAAAAAAAGATAATTTTACTAAATACCCTCCTATTTGTCAAAATGGCCTGTATCCTGCTAAATTCTTCTCAGTAGAAAATAATGCCATTAGGAGTTTCTAATGCACATAATATTAATAGAATCTTGGTTTTGTTATAATCACCTTTGTTACTTAAGTTTTGATTTATTTATTTATTTATCTGAGAGACAAGAGAGGGTGAGCATGAGCAAGAGGAAGGGCAGAGAGAGAGAGAGAGCGAGAAAATCCCAAGCCGAGCATGGAGCCCTACGCAGGGCTCAATGCCACAACCCTGAGATCACAACCTGAGCCAAAACCAAGAATGGACACTTAACCCAGCCAGGTGCCCCTTTTGCATAAGTCTTAAGAAAATGTCTAAGAATATCCCTAAAATCCTTGAATTATTATATGACTTTATATTTCTGTCTACCTTTATGGTGTTTAGTAAGTATTCATAGGTCTAATAGAGTTCAAGGAACTCTAGGGCCAGGTAGCCGTCGACCGTTGCTGGCATGAATGTCTGTGCAGGGACATCTCTGTCTGGCGGGGGAGGGGCTGGAGAAGAGGGTGTAGGGGCTAGACACCAGACTTCCTCTTTTTAGTGTTCTGCTCAAGTTTTGTTCACTTGCTATGAACCTCCTTAAACACGGGAACACTCAGATAGTCAAGTTGGAAAAATGTTTTCTAGAAACTATTCCTATAGATTGTTTGGATTTTTGTCTGCATAGTAACCTTTCATTTAAAACAATGCTATTATAGTTGTGGGCTTGTTGAAGCAAGTTCAGATTTCCATTCATGCTATTTCTGTCCTTCTATTTTTTACTCTGGTATCTCTCATTTATTTTAGGTTTAGCAGTTTCCCTACAGCTATTACATGGAGATATTGAACAAATCAGAAGAGAATACTCATCAGTATTTTCTCACGGAGTGTCTATAACGAGGAAGTTGGGTTTTTCTAATATTATTATGCCTGGTAAGTGACTTGGGATGAACCAAAGGTTGACATATGGGTATTATGTCTATTTTTGACACTTGAGAAATTTTCCAAATTGTCAGGTTTGAAGAGTTCAAATGGACCATGCTAAAGAAGGAAATGAGTATATGATAATAAATAAGCAAAAGTTTCTTAAAAATATCTTTACATTTTGATTATAATAGGTGGGTAACTTGGAGGGCCATGCTGCTTTCTTTATGACCATGATAAGAAGGGAAACTGGGGTAGGATCCAGAAAATATTTTACCCTTTGATGGAAAATGTTGGTGAAGTCACTTAGGGGAAATCCTTACAGGTTTTGGTAAGAATAATTATTGAGCAGCAGTTCACCCTTCTTGGAGGATTTTTCTATCCAAGATATGTATATGTAAATAAGCAGCCATATGCAAATACCATATGTATTTCTACACCCTTCCTAGTTCTGTTTGAGATCTATTCACATCTCTTTTCGCAACCTAAAAGGACTCAAAAAAAGTGACTGTTTCTAAGTGGGGAAGGTGGCAGTTCATGAGAATCACACTGTTCAAGTAAATGCCAGGTAGTAGCATTTCTCAGTGCCCCACATCCCTCCCTCTACAACCAAGAGAAAAGTAGACCAACTGAAATACTCTGAAATTGTGAACAGTATTTTTAGAAACGAGATCATGTAAATCTCTGTTTAAATCCCGTGTGTGAAAGCAAGCACGGGAAGTTGCATCTGACAAGGCTCCCCGCACAGGTGTGGGAGGGATGGTAAGACTGCTGTGGATAAAGACCTAATGGGATGCAGAAAGTGACCAGCATTGCCCTGTTGCAGCATCTCGGGATCTCTTTATGCAAATCTGTTTGTGCAGGGAGGGCTCAGGGAGAGCCTGGAAATTTCCTGAGATGACCTGACCTGGCTTGGGTGCCCGCTCTGCCTGAGCATCTAATGCTACTGTTGTTAAAAATGACTGTTTATAGAACTGTTTACTTGGTGGCCTGTTACTCAGCGACTCTCGCACCCCTTCATTATTTCCTTCAGTTGCTATAAATAACTGGTATTTCCTTTGTAACAAAAAAAGAAAAAATTTCATGCCACTGGGAAGCAAATTGATGGGCAAATCTAATATAAAAAACATATTTCCAAACAGAATGCAGACAGCTGCTGGAAGAATTCCTCAGCTTGGTCTCTGGGCAGTATCATTGAGAAGTGGAAAAACATAAAGCCACATGACACTTCACCAGCTGAATAATTGTCTGGGATGTGCTGTGCTCATGCCACTTCTGTCTGGCTTTAATGATGGAAATGAACTTTGTGTGGAAGAAGGCTTGCATCTGTCATCCCCCCCTCCCCGCCCCGCTGCACCACATTATAGTGGCGAGGTTCGCCCTGCCCAGGAAATCAGTCCTCCCGGACACAAGTCCGCAGTGCCGGGGATGCCAAGAGATTATTTTAAAGCTCTTGCTTCTTTTTCTCTTCTCCTTTTTCTTGTGTGGCTTCTTAATCTTCCAAATTAGAGGAAGAAGGGAAAGACATGTGTATTTACATAAACAGCTGAAAGCAACTTTAAAACTCAGTGGAATTTTTTTCCATTGGCAAACATACTTTCATTGTTCTGTTTCCCTTTATTTTCAGAATGTTGACTTGTCAGTTAATTCTCACTGCTGGCTCTAATGAAAACTTGAGCGGAATTCTTCAATGAGAAAATGTATGGGCACAACATTTCTGAGGCCAGTGTTGCCCTGACCGTCTGCTGGCATGGTTTTTTATTTTCTTTTCACTTTCTAGACTCATCCTTCAGAGTTGATTTGTGTTCTGATAGGGGTCGGGACAGGTGAGGGTCATGCTTGGACCAAGGGGACAGGTTCATCAACACAGCTGCCACGTCCCTGTAGAAGGAGTTACCTGTGGTCTTGACACTGACAGGAGCATACACAAAACTCCTGTTGAGCATCATAGCATGTAATCTGTGCCAGACTCTTTTTGGAATGGGAACACAGAAACAGAAACTCTCCCCTTGGTCTGGCAGCTGTAGGGGCACGTGTCTGAGATGTCACCTAGTGTGAGGAGGTGATCTGGCCACATGCTTTCCAGCTACCATGACCCTTCCCTGTTGTTAAGGGTCGGTCATCCAGCACTTTGTTTCTTAGAGTGCCTAATTTTCAAAGAGGATAAGTCACTTTGTTTGAAGCTCCATCACTGCTACCTACAAACCACATAACTCTGCCGAAAGTTCCATCGTCTGCTCTCTGAACCCATGACGGGGAGGGCAACAAAAATATTTCAATCCATACTCTCCGGTAGAAATGTAATGAGAGCCACAAATGTAATTTTAACTTTTCTAGTAGCCACTTTTGAAAGAGTTGAGATTAATTTTAATAATGTATTTTATTTAACCCACTACATCCAAAATGGTATCATTTCAGTAGATAATTCATGTAAAAAATTCTTAATGAGTTATTGTACACTCTCTTTTTTCACCTCCATCCTTGAAGGCTGGGGAGTGTTGTCCATTTACAGCACGTCTCTTTTCAGCCAAGTCCCATTTCAGGTACTCCCTTGCCACATGTGGTTACGGTATTGGACAGCCTGCCTCTAAATGTCTTAACAGACCGTACTGCATATCGGGAAGCACGAAGTTTCCATCCACCAGACATTTTGGAGCAAAGCTGGCTGATATGTCCGGAATGTCATGGGAGGTCAGGCTGAGCCCTCTCCCACCCTGAAGGTCCATTCTTACTCTGACTTTAGGGTTCTTTCTAGGCAAAATGCTCTTTGCTTTAATCATTGCCTCCCTACTTTATCTTCTCCATTTGTCCCCTGTTCCCTTGGAGGCTTGTTCCCACGTATCAACTGGTCAAACTGTCATTCTTTCTTAGGAAACCCCTAATTAATTCCTTCCGGTACATTCAGTCTTTCCTAGGAGGCCTGTGAAGCTCCTAACCCTGAAAGGAATGAAGTAAAAGTTGTGGAGTGTTGGAGGAGGGAGGGGTTGAGATTTGGAGTCTAGAGGCTCACGCTGAAAACAGTCAGCAGAGCCCATGTTGCAAGTGGCTGCCCGTGGAAGTAGCTTTGACAGTGTTCTCAAGATTTACTTAAGTTTATTCTTCAAGCGTCATTCAGAGCAAGCCTCTTTTTTCTTTGGTTGTTAGGTGATGGTTCACATAAGTCAAATTTCTCTGTGGTCAAAGTTGACTAGATAATGATTTACAGGCTAGGGTAAGAGAAATGTTGTACATATGTTTGTCTCATGTTTAAGAAGATACGCAGTTTTTTTCTTTTAAGTATATTATTATTCTTTATCAGTCGCTGACAGAGACATGCATATCAGCAGATGAAATTGCCTGAGATAAGCCGCCTTTGGGTGAAAGCAGGTGGGAGCCAGTATGATATGATTTGATCTTCCTTAAAAATACATCCTAAATCAAACCTCACCACCCCTCAAGTCCGAGTCACTGGGCCTCCACGTCATATACGTGCAACCACTTGGCTGAGACCTGAAAACCCCACGGTCATGCTAGGGGAGGGGGTCATGGTCTTTCAACCAATGAATACCACAGTGATCCGAGAGAGGTGGAGGCTAAAGATCTTCCATGTTATGCTGAGGTGGGATTTCAGCCCCAAATCAGAATGGGGGAGGGGCTCATGCCTCCAAAATGTTGAAGTTACAGGCCCCATTACTCAAGGGTGTAGGACTTTCCCCAGAAGTCCATGCCTCATCCTGGAGTGTGATGGACATCAGAGAGCCAATGCCCATCCCTACTCCTGTCTTGACACAACACTGTTCTGGCCGGCCTATCATGGGTGCCATTGTAGCATTTGCCATTGTTTGCTTAAGAAGCATAAGCAAAAATTAAAAAGCTTTGCCCCCAAAAAGTTCAATATCTCATAATACTCTCCTAAAATAAAGCAAAACAAAAATGAGAATAACAGAAAAAAAAGCAGAGAAAACATTTCACAGAAGTGCACTCTATGTGAGAACTCCAAAGTTCAGTTTTCAACCCACCCATAAATGTTTCCTTTCTGTGGTCTGCTTTGATTTCCAGTTACCTGTGGTCTGTCCCTGTCCCTCCCCCCACTCATGAACGTATCATGAAGTGATAGAATCTTGGGTATGGATGGCATATTGTATTAGCTTCTTAAAGCTGCTGTTACAGATCACTACAGATGGGATGGCTGAAAACACCACAAAAATACTATCTTCCAGTTCTGGAGATCAAAAACATATACAGGTCTTACTGGGCTAAAAGCAAGCCCTATCAACGGGGCTGCGTTTTTTCTGATGACTCTAAAAGAAAATTCAGTTCCTTGCCTTATCCAGCTTCTGGAGACTGCCCGCACTCATTGGCTCACGGCCCCACATCATTCCAATGTCTGCTTTCCTCATCACATCCTCTTCTCTGATTCTGGCCCTCCTGCCTCCCTCTCCCGCCTTGTAATTATATCGAACTGATCCTGATAATCCAAGAAAATCTCCCCATCTCAAGATCCTTACTTAATTAATCATAGCCACAAAGTCCCTTTTGCTGCGTAAGGTAACATGTTCACAGGTTCCCAGGATTCGGACCTGAACATCTTTTGGGAGTACAGGGGGTGTCCTTATTCTGCCTGCCGCACACATGAAGGGCCATGCAGCCCAGCCTCTGTGGCCAGTGCATGAATTTCTTCCTCAGGTTCCTGGTGATGGTTTTCTGGCACCTACTTGAATATTGGTAATGACCAAGAACACATCACATCTCAGAATGACCTCTGCCAAGTTTCTCTCCACCTTCTATCCATTGGGTTGAGCTTTTCTGCTTGAAAGCTCAGCGTTTTTAAATTCAGTTAACTCTCTTGCCACTCTCATTCCTCCTCTGATGAGTTCTGAGTCCTTTCCCCATATTATTTACCATCTGGATGATACTGCTCATGTGTGTCCTGGTCCAGTGAAGATGGTCTCTAGAACTAAAATCGGTACTTCAAGCCTGGGCCAACCAGTGCAGAAGAGAGAAGGACTCATACCTTCCTTGCTCAAGGCACTGATGTGGTGAAGAAAGCTGAATTGCACTAGCTTATTTGATGGCCATTCTCACCCTGTTGAATTACATTTTTTCATACTAAAAAAATGTGATTTTATTTTAATATAAGCTGATAATATGTTGGACACATTTCTTAATCTCTACAAATCTGTTTTATTATCAATAAAGTGAAAATAATAGGGCCTTCTTCAAACTTCAACGTGAGAATTTAATGAGCTGTTGTCTTTATAGTGCCAGGCAAAGTCCCTAACTACCATCTATCTGCTACTACTGTCATCATCATTAGCATAATTTAAGTTCTTAGTCTTAGACATATGTTGATTTGTTTTTGACTAAGGGACAGAAACTTTTTTTTTTTCCAATTCCATAAATATTAACAAATACCCAGCACAGATTAAGACACTTGATTAGCCCGTGGCTGAGTGCAGTGGTTTGCTTGATGTGCTGAGCTTGCTCTCTATGGCTTTATCTAAGGAGTTCATAGCACAGAATCAAAGATCACGGTTTTCAGCTACTGATGGAAACCTCTTGGCTACTGAGGTCAAGCCATAAATTGACCCCATTTGACTGCAGTCGCTGAACTCTTTTGAATTTGTTCCCATTGTTGTGACCTTACATTTTTTTCTGTCTACAGTGATATTTTCAGAAGCCTTCACATGTGCAAAGCCAGTGGGCCTGCTGAACAGAAGAAAATGTTATGCACATCAAATTTACAGAGTATTAAATTTGAGAGGTGCAAGGTGTTAATAAACCTTGTCAGGAAAATAGCTTTTCACACTAGTGCTATGACTCCATTTCATACCCACTTTATGGTTTCTCTCTTAATTACCCAAGATGCTTTCTTAACACCATTTGGGCTTATTAGTTTTCTCCAGAGCTGACCTCAAGTGTATTGATTTTAATTAGCACATATTTCAACTTTATCCTGCTGCATATTTTGGCAAGATGCGATACCTTGTGGTATTGGAACATAGCAAGCTGCAGAATTCCTGGGGAGACATATGTAGAATATCACCCAGGAGAAATGTTCTCCTTGTCGTGTATTCTCTTTTCAGAGAAATCTTACTTGAGTCTAAAAGGTTTGCAAGAGAGAAAGGGGTTGCAGGGATAGTGTCTGTTAAAGACCAGAAAAGGAAAGCGTGTGCATAAGGGGCTCTTATTTATGAATATGTATATTTCAGAAGTTCTTCTCTAAGTCACAGACACAGCGTAACATGACAAAGTAGTCTTGTCCCTCCTACCATCTCTCTTACCCCTGCCTCTGTCTTTACCCCACCTCCATTTTAATAACACAGAAACGTGAGGCCTGGAGGTTTATATTATCCTGTCTAGACTCTTATCACACAGTGCAGACAGTAGAGAGAGAGAGAGACTTGAATCCAGATCTTTTATTCCAGTCGTGCTGTAACTCTATATCCTTTAGGCTTATTTGAACTCACAATCTCTTCTGAATTCAGAAGAGATAGGAGAGTCCAGCTATGGTGTGAGCGAAACAGGCTTTGTGGATTGATTCGGGAAGCTAATGCCATTTTCAGCCTTGCTCCTTGATCAAAATATGTTCTACCTTCCTCAGATCTCTCATCTCCTCCGTGAGGTCTTTTCTCATATAACACCCCCTCGGCCCCCATCCGGCACTCTCTCTGCCCGTTCTCAGTCTTACTTTTATCCCAGCACTTTCTATTATTATTCAACATGCTATATATTTGACTCCTTTATTAAAGACCTCCCCGTTCCTAGAATCTCAGCTCTGTGGGAAAAGGGTTTTTGCTTTGCTTTGTTCACAGCGGGGTCTACCTGGTCTACCTGGTCTACCTGGCCTAGAATAGTATCTGGCACATAGTGGGTGCTCAAAATATATTTGTGGCATGACCACATGGAGACAGAATTTCCCAGCACATTTCTCCCCACTGCCCCTCTTCCTCCTTCAGGCCTGGCCTACAGCCTGGGCAAAACTGGTCAGCTTGCAAGCCTCCCTCATCCCCTCTTGCCTTTGCTAAAGTCAGAGTTGCCATTCCTTCCGGCAGATGAGAGTGGAAAGCCCCTCCCCAAGAAACACTCCTCATTCTGCAGGACAGTTAATCCCCATGTGGTTTGGACTAGCTAATGACTCATTATGAGAACTTCCTAAGGTAGAAACCCCCGTAGCTACACTTCCCATTAATCAGTGTATGTTGTGGTCTATTTGTAAGCAGAACTACTCATTATGTGTCATCTACTCCAAGAAGCAAAGGAATTTTACTATTGTTAACAGACCTCTTTTGCTCTCAACTACCTTGATTTGAGTGTTGCTTTTTTATCTGCCAAATCTGTTAGTGGGGAAACTATTGTCAAGAATTTCCTCCCAGACATATTGTTGAAATAGCACGTGTGCGGACCTTTAGCAATACCAGGCCTATTTTGATTTGGTTGAAATTGGTTGATTCAGAGGACAGAGTCTGTGAATGTACTATTCATTCTGTAATGGGATTGTTAAATTGTTAAAATGCACTTATATTAAAGATGTGTATGTGTATAGTAATGAATACATATAGTAACAAAATCAAAAATTTACTGGGCCATTCTCTATAAATTTAAAACAAAAGAGATGATTCAAACAAAACACTTATAAAGCATACAGATCTAATTTTAAATATGATGAAATACATTGGTTTTCTCCCAGAACTCCAAGATCGTTGCCTCTCCAAATCGATTTGGATGAGAGCATTAGAAATGCATACACCAGAGACCACTGTATCTGTTAATTCCAATGTATTTTTTATATACTCTTTGTAAAGGGTGGTTTCAATTTCATCCTTTTTGGAACTTACTCATTTTCTCTCTTTTATGGCCCATCTGTTTCCTGGTCAGCTCAGGTCATTCGTAAATGATGCCATCATCAAAAGTTGGTCTTCGTGGAGGAAGGTGACCAGTCACACTGGTATTCCCCCATGGTTTTGAAACCTGGGGTACTTTCTTGTACACACTTTGGTCAGGAAGTTTTCTAAATCTCCCAGTTGTGGTCTTCTTTGTATGGTTATTGTTCCTTCTAGTGATCTGCGCTTTTTTTGTGGAGAGGTTTTTTTATTAGAGAAAAAAAAAGAGTACTGATGGTGATTCTTCTAATGTTTGAAAGCTCTGTTAAGTAAAAGTGAATTCAACTCTGCCAACCTTACCAGTATTTATCTTCAAAAACTTTCTGGTAACAGTTTGTTTACTTCTTTCTCACTTCCCTATTCACTCACCACTTACCCTTAATTCTTATAGGAGAGGTAAAAGCATGCTTTCAGCCTGTTTGCCTAAGTTTGCTCATTGGCATCAAATTCCTCTTTTTTCTTGGGGCAGTAAGTTTTATAAATCACCAATGGAGAAAAAAATAAATGGCATATGTGTTCATAGAATATGTCAGTTTGAATCTTGTTTTATAGCTTGATGGTAAGGAATTTGCAGCCAAGCTTGTCTGCATAACTGAATTATTCTACATCTGTGTTCATAAAGCACTAACCTGGATTCTTCCAGCAGTGAGATCATTTTGTCCATGAATTTTGGAAAAAGATTTAAATTGTAACTCTACTCTTTGCAGTCCTGTCATTTTATTCCACTTGGGTATTTCTTCTACTCTAAGTGTTGTGTCTATAGAGTATTAAGACTGGCTTCTTTGAGCCACCCTGCTAGGCTGTCATTTTGTAATCACACCTCATAAATGAAATGAGGGAAATACTGAAAAATGGTGAAACGTGACAACACCTTCTTATTCAATCCCCGTATTCACCTCCTAACTGTACATTTTCAGTATTGCAAATTCAGACCAGCAGAGGCTGGTCTTCACTTCTCTTGGATATTGGCAGTTGAGGGTGGGAACCCTTATATAAAAGTGTAAATATAGTATTTTTACTTTTATATGTATGCTACAATAGTACATTTTATGAACTAAGGTTTTTCTTGATAGTGTACTGTATTACACTTCCTAGTTTTATACACACACACACACACACACATATATAAACATGGTTTTAATTTTCCTACTAGGTGAAATGAGAAATGATTTATACATCACTATAGAAAGGGGCGAATTTGAGAAAGGAGGGAAGAGCGTGGCCAGAAACGTGGAAGTGACCATGTTCATTGTGGAGAATAGTGGCCAGATCTTAAAGGTATGTGAATACTGGGTACTTTCTAGTAAAATGATCCCATGTCATCATTTTGGGTTCACCTTTAATGTGATCAGTTAATTTCTGTACTTGCAGTCTTTTCGATCTTATTTTTCTCCTCCACCCCTGTATAGTTTTCTTTCCTTTTTTTAATCATTGATATACCTTCCAGAAAAGAAAGTAGAGAAACAAGAAGGTTTTACAGTTGGCTTGTCTCATGAATTGTGGCAGGAATTTCCTCCTGGCAGCTCTTCCTTAAATGTAGCATTTTTATTGTCATTCCAATCTCCCACTTTCATCTGTCGTAGTTTTGGAGGTGAACACTTTGGCGACTGGTTAAAAAAAATAAAATAAAAACTGCCACATTTAGTCCCATGTATTTTCATTTTGATCAAAATAGGGCATGCGGAGTGGGCTATTACTGATTGGGACGGTAATAGCAGGTTCCTTTCAGGTTCCTTTATGCGAGAAGTTGTTCGTGCGAGCCTCACAGCTTCCTGCATTTCCCAGGGAGGCACAGAACAGGCTTGTGACAGGGGCAGGCTGAGGACTTCACCGCGTAGGTGAACTCCAAATTGGGCATGCAGTTGCCCATCTCGTGCTTGTCCCCAAGGTCCACCCTCGGCACAGGAGGCCCTGGGAGATGTGCGTGGGCATTAAACAGATGCGGTCACTGGCAGAAGCAGGTGCAAAACAGCACTGTGAAGGACAGGGGAGGCCGTTCTCCATGAAGTGCCGTTTGGATAGCAGGCAGATAGAACAAAGCAATTGCTCTGCTGTTTTTCAGATAATCTCTAAATGAAGCTTTCTTTAATCTGCATGTTTCCTTTGTTTAGGATTTTATCTCCTTCGGCTCTGGAGAGCCGCCAGCTAGTGAGTACCACTCCTTTGTGCTTTATCATAACAACAGTCCCAGGTGGTCCGAACTGCTCAAACTTCCTATTCCTGTGGATAAATTCAGGGGCGCACACATCCGCTTTGAATTTCGGCATTGTTCCAGTAAGTGTTTCTTGGGTTTGGCTTTGTTGTGCTGGGGTAAGGTGCTTGCTGAGCTGTGGTGACAGTATGGGCAGAAAGGGTGACAAAGCAGAGACCTTCAAGAGGGAGGAATGAGGGTCAGTGGGGTCCTGAGAGGTGAGTGGGCTCACTTCTTCTCAAAGAACCAATAATCTCTGTGGAAACATACAGGAAGGAGAAGGAGGGAAACAATACATACGGAAGTCTACAGGGTTCTCCTTAAATTGATCATTTTCATAAAAAATGAGTATCACTTTTGTAGTCTAGAAAGATTAGACAGAAAGGGGAGACACAGCATTAAAAACTTGTCTGGCTCAGCGGGCTTAGGCAGTCCTGACCCATCTGCTGCTCTCCAGCCAAGAGCTCACCCAGCTCTCAGACAGCTCAGGGGAAACCACGAGGACTTTCCTGGGCCTGTGAAGTCCCTAGGAAAGCCTCTGATTGGCTCAGATTTATATCTGATTTGCATATGTCTGCATCACCATGCCGTCTTGATATTCAGATGACAAGTAATGTCGGTCGAATAGGCCCTAGAGATGATGTGAAATAATTGCTTCATTTTACAGAACTAAAAAATCCCAAGATGTAGAGATGATAAAGGATTTGCCCATATAAACATCACTGTCCCTAAAATTGTCATTTCTTGACATCTCTATTTTAATTCTTTTGCACTCTTGACCACCCTCTCAAGCCCCCACTCCCATCTTCTGGTATCCCTGTGTCCCTGACGCGTATCTTAGACACTACCAGAAGTGCTTGCTTCGGGAACAAACAAGAGGCACAGAGGAATCACATTACTGGAGAAACAGCAGACTTCTCTCTAGTCTGGAAAGAATGGGGGCATTGCCAATAGACAGGAGGTGCCCTCGCCCGAGTGCTGTGTAATTCACCCAGGATTCAGAGAGAGGACTGTCTGTTGCAGGGATGATGGCATGTTTTGGAATTGGCTCAGGGAGCTCCAGTAATGATGCTTTGGTGGATGTTTCAGAATGTAGGGAGATGACTAGCAAGGTCTTACCGTTCTTCCAAATTCCCAGAGGAGTGTCATGGAAAAGACTGAGAGTGGCAAAACATAAAGCACTTGGAATGGTGCTATAGCATTCCTTCCCCAATCTTTGTTATAAATTCTCAGTCGAGCTCACACAAGCTTTGAACTTTAAGGTACAAAAAAGAGAAAAGTAAAGAGGAAATGAGAGAAAAGGGAGAAAGAACATTTGGAGAAATTTATTTTAACTCAGAACTTGGAAAATGGAAAAAAGGCTATTTTCAGTAAAACCTATTAGATCTCTGTCCTCTTGTCCTTGTATTTCAAACATTGTTCACAGTGTTAGTTTGTTTTTTGAATTTCGTTGTTAAAATTCAGAAGAAACAGCACAAGCATGAAGAAAAGAAATCCCCATAATCCCATAAACTGAATAATCAGAGCAGTTACTTTATCACATGAGCTCCCAAGTATTTCTCTGTGTATATGTATATATATTATATATATTTAAAGATTTTATTTATTTGAGAGCGAGAAAGCGAGAGACTGAGCATAAGCGGTGGTGGGGGTGGGTGGTGCAGTGGGAGAAGGAGAAGCAGACTCCCCACTGAGCAGGGAGCCCGACGACACAGGGCTCAATCCCAGGACTCTGAGATCATGACGTGAGCCAAAGGCAGATGCTTAACCGACTGAGCCACCCAGGCTCCCCTGTGTACATATGTTTATTCAAGAAGTATCTTTTATTCATGAAACACATGTTTACTGAACACTTACTATGTGTCAAGCACTTTACTGGGCATTGGAGATACAGGAGTGAACACAACTGAGTATCTCCTCTCATAGAGCTTTCGTGCTAGAAAGGGAAGACAGACAATATCTGAGCAAATAAATACATACTATATCAGGCCGTGATAAGTGCTGTAAAGAAGATTAAATTGGGATTAGGTGCTGGAAAGTGATGGTGCTGTGTTGCTATTTTACAAAGAAGCTCTCTGTTAATGAGATGTATCAGCAACAAGCTGAAAGGCATGAGCCTTTGGGTATCTGGGGAAAGACTATTACAGGCAGAGAAAACAGTAAATATAAAACACTTAAGCTTGAAACATGCTTGGCAGTTTTGAGGGATATCCAGGAGGCCAGAATGAGCAGCTGAGAGAGTTTGGAGATGAGGCCAGAGATGCAGCAAGGGAACCAGATATCCCATATTGTCTTGTAAGTCATGGGGAAGACTTCAGACTTTGTTTGGAGCAAGGAGCACCCTTAGAGGATTTAGATTTAAAGAAGAGCCTGGCTGCTTTTGTATGATAGGTTGTAGGTGGGAACAGAAAGACCATTCAAGAGGCTTTAGCAGTCCTCCAAGTAAGAGGTTAAAAAGGTTTGCATTAGAATGGTAGTAGGTCAATTCTTTTTCACAGATTTATTGATAGACTAGATATGAAGGAAGGAGAAAAGTCAAGGATGACCCCCAAGATTTTGGCCTGAGAGAGGGCAACATGAAAAATCAAACTTTTGGAAAGCAAAAACCAAACATTGCGTGTGAAATCTGAGAAGTCTCTTAGACATTAAAGATGTCAAATAGACAATTGAAAGCAATCCAAGCTGGAGACTTAAGCTTGAGAAGGAGGACATACGGTTCAGTGCTGTGCTATAAATATATAATAACCACAACTTGAACTGGGGGAGAAGGGACCCCTGAATTATAGGATTTGCTGATTTCCATCAAATAAATACTCCCACCATGGCCAAATTCAAGCTACCAACATGACCATCACTGAACTTGGAGTTGGGAAAAGATGCACAGTGTCAACTCTTGCGAGCCACTACCAGCCAGCTCCAGCATATCACCGATGCCCATGATTTTCAGAGCCATGACACTGGATGCAATTTCTAAACAGTAAGTTTAGATAGGAAAGGGATGTCCAAGAACGGCTCTCTGGTGTATTTTCACATTGAGATCATGGGAGAATGAGAAGAAGCCACTAAGGAAATTAAGAAGGAACAGCCCGTGAGGTAGAAGGAGAATCCAGGAATAGAACCCAGGAAGTTAATAGAAGAAAGATTTTCAAGAGAGGATTGATCTGCTCTGCCAGGTGCCAGTGATAAATCAAATAAGTGGAAGACAGAGGGATTATCACCTAGTTTGGCATCATGGAAGTCATTGAACCTAACAAGTGGTCTTAGTGGATTTGTGGTGATGGAAGCCTGGCGTGAGTGAGTCCAGGAGTAAGGTGGAGGAAAGGAAGGGCAGGCAGTAAGTACAGACAGATCTTTCCAGAAACTTTGCTCTAAAGAATACAAGAGAGCAGAGAAATGGGATAGTAACTCTAATGGAACGGTGGGTCATGGGAGGGTTTTTTTTTTTTTTAAGATGGAGTTCTAAAACATGTTTGGTGCAAATGATTTGGTAGAGAGGACAAGCTGATGATGTAGAAGAAAGAGGGGTCAAGTGTAGGAGCAGTGCCCTTGAGGATGGGAAGCATGGGGTCCAGTGCTCTGGGTTAAGCGGACAGTTCAGGCATAGTGCAGGAGGGCCCATGCAGGTGGGGTAATGGGCAGAGCGTGTGGGAGCCCTCTGTGCATCTGCTGAGAGTAAGGGACATGCTGAGGTATTGGCAGCTTGAGAAGGGAAGAGGATGGATGAAATCCCTATCTGGAAAAGTGAAAAGGTGAGCTTAGAAAAATGTGGCAGATTTGCCCAGCTCAGGGCCCATCTCTGGTTAATGTGCATTCATTAAAGTGAGGTTAGTATGGTGCAGGTGTAGACTAAGGTGCAAGTTGGGTATCAGCCCAGTACAATGTTAACGTTACAATAATGAGAAACATGGAGGGGTAGCGGGTAGAGAGGGTTCGAAGTGATTAGGAGGATGAAGCGTAGAAATGGGAAGTGAGAGCAGAGGGGCATGGAGAGAGGGTCAGTAAATTGGAGGTCCCAGGACACAGTTGTTGGAGTTAGGGTATTAGAAAGAATGGATTGGAAAGTTAGGAGGTGGAATCCATAAATGTAGGATCTTCATTAGTAAAAGAAGGCGTCATAGTCCATTCAACTTAGGCGTCATAGTCCATTCAACTTACTGGCTGATCTAGTGGCTCAGGACAAAAGGCCATGTACTTTAAACTTTGGTATTTATTTTTCTTTTATAACAAAAGACAAATTTGGGGAAACTATTGCTTTGTTTCTTACCTTTGCTAATTTATTCATTCACGAAATCTTGTTACCCTCCCAAATTAAATACCAAAAATGACACCAAAAATGTGGTCACATAAACTTAGGAAAGTATTTCTAAGTAAGTCTCCTCCCCTAAATCATAAGTTCCATAGCCAGCACTCTCACTGATGTAGAAATCTCATCCTAGAGATCTTCACTGTGATTTTCACTTAACAGTGATATTTTCCCAGTTTCTCTCTGGGGTTGAAATTAATGACTTTAGAAGAAAATCGTTTCCTAGAAGCACATTTTCAGGGATGTCCTAATGCTAGGGGCCAAAACCAGCAAGCCAAAATTACTGTTCTCTATGTGGTGTCCCACTTCCCTGTGGTTAAATGCCAGAAGCAATCATGAGGGAATGATGTGTTGCTAAAGTCTCCTGTTTGATCTTCAAGGTCACCATATCTAACTCCTGCTAGCTCAGGCCTTACTGCATCCCAGAGCTGAACTCTTCTATCAAGTATAATGCTCCACTTCCACACCTGTGTGGGAAAGAATAACCGTCCAGCCCAGGATAGGCTGCAGACCCTGGAATTCCTCCCTGCCCATCTCAATACAAGGAGACAGTCCAGTAGAACCAACCAATTTCTTTTAAAGCTTTCTCCATTTTTGGAGAAAAGGAAAGTTGGTGGAAAGAACTGGAATGGTACTCGAAATCTAGAGCAAATTACCTGATATCATGCGATCTCAATTTCCTTCTCTGTGAATAATGGCCAATGATCTTTGACCTTTCTAGCCATTGTAATTCTTCATTAGGCATCTGAAAACCTCATTGCCCCATTTCCAGCTTCCAGAATACTACTGTAATAAGCTCTTCTTAAGCTATAGATAGCAGTTCATGTTTTTTATCCACATGTCTAAGATCCCAGGGAAGTAGCTTCCACAGGGCTCTCTGTCTTCACACACGTGGACATAGGGAAAGTTCTATTATAGGCCAAGGCAGAGCTTAGAAACTACCTTTGCATGAGTCGTAAACAAAACTTTGAATTTCACGTCCATTCATTCACTTGTTCGTGGATTTAACATATACTTAGTGAGAACCTGCTATGTTCTTGGCACTCTTTGAGGACCAAGCTTGAATAAAATAACGTAGAATCCTGCCCTCAGTGATGCTTACGGCTGGGAGTGGAGGGTAGGACATGAAGAGAAAAAACAGGCAATCCAGAAATTTTTGTAAAAAACGTAATTTCAGATAGTGAGTCCCATGATGAAAATTCATCAGGCAGTGTCCTTTGCAGGCTACAGGGCAGGAATATGGGTTGGAGGGTGGCTCCTATAGATAGAGGTCTCATCACAAAGCTGCTCTCAGTTGTGTAGAGGGAACTGGTGAGTGTGGGTTGTATTTCTTGATGATCAGGCTTGTTGGCAATCTGTGAGTCAGAACACAAGTGTGTAAGCAGACATTTTAAAAAGGAAATAATTCTTTCTCTCTTTTCTCACAGCAAAGGAGAAAGGAGAGAAGAAACTGTTTGGTTTCTCCTTCGTCCCTCTGATGCAGGAAGATGGTAGGACTCTTCCAGATGGCACTCATGAGCTCATCGTGCATAAGGTAACATCAGTCAGATGTTGGCGACGGGCTGTGATAAACAGGGCTGAATTATTAACTCATTATCTTGTTATCACTCTGGAAAAGAGAAGAGAATGACTGAAAAAAATACTCTTTTGGAAGATTGTTGGCAAGGAGTGTGTCTTTTTGAAAGGATGGTCTCTGTGTTCTGTGTCATTCTGAAACGTGTTTTAAAGATGATTAATATCTTTATCTTAACTTAGGTGTAGATGTTTGGGAAAGTCTCTATGTTGACCTTAAAGTTCTTTCCATTGCTGTGAGAGGATTAAATAACCTTACAAATAGGTTTTTAAATATTTCCAGTACATACGTGCTTTCGGTACCGCCCCAGGAATAAATTTAGCAGGGTCATCATTGCATGTTTCTGGTTTGCTGCTCTCACTAAGCAGGCAGAGATATGGTGGTCCTCTGTCCGGACAACATCAGCAGTTGTTACTTTCTATTTTGTGCATCAGGAATCGTCGTAAAAACATTGGGAATGAAGTATACTGTAGTAGGCAATAAAAAGAAAGTTCACAAAACCAGAGCTCCTTAGAAGTTATCAGGGAATACTAGTAATAATGAAGTATACTAGTCACTGTAAAATACAGAATTAAAATACACAATTTTCTCCAAAATACTTCTCCGTTGCATTTCTCTGTTTCTGTAATCACATGACATTCCAGGCTCTTACCAGCTTGCCCCTGAGCTAAGTGGTCCTGCCCACCTGGCTCTTGTCTCCCTCTGGTCCAGATTTCAGCAGCCGTTGGGGTGACCCATGTAAGGTACAGGTCTAACGGGGCCTCTTCTCAATTTAAACCCCGTAAAAAAAACTCCCAATTGCTGAGAAAATAAATCTCAGGCTTCTCAGGATGTTCAAGGCTTCTGACTCCCAACTGCCTCACCTCTGAGTGCTTCTGTTCTTGATACCATGGCCACATCCAGCTCTTTCTAGTTCCTTCCCCCACTGGCTGCTGGTTCTCCTTGCTATGACTTTGCCCTTGGCACCCCTAGAGTCATGCTTCCCCTGCCTCTCTTCGTGGCTAACTCCGCTCATCCTTGGAGGCTCACCTTGTCCACAACTTTCATCAGAAGAATGGTCCTCACTCCCCGGCCCCCACTCCCTGTGTTCCTAGCTGGCCAACTGCCCTCCCCTGAGTTCTGTAGATATCTGCACACATCTCTTACCATTGTACTCATAACACTGTCCCCTAATTATCTGATGCTCCCTCAGCTTACTCCAATAGATTTAGGAGTCCCTTAAGAGTGAGAACTTTGTCAGGGGTTCCGGCACACCGTAGGTGTGCAGCAAAGATTTATTGAATGATTGAAGGAGATACAAACAAAAACTTCCCTTACCTTTGGATTATTGCTAATAAAATGAGTGTCAATGCACAACACACCTGGTCACTTCTGCTGGCATGCACATGGTTATGTATGTGCATGTTTCTTGAATCATTTATTTTCTAGTTATTTGTTCAACACATTTATCAACCACAAATGACAAGTCAGGCACTATCCTAGGTTCTGGAAATGTAGTGGTGAACAAAACAGTTCAAGTCCTTCCTGTTTCTGGCATTTACGTTCTCTCTACTTCAAAAATGGACTTCAAGATGCTTACAATGTTAAAATACAAAGGAAAAGTATCTTAATCAGTAAAGCAAACAGAGGATCTCAATGTACTAGGTACCTGAGATGATCAGTTTATCTCTCTGTTAGGTGGGAGGTGCCTTTTGTGAGATACATGACAGGCAATGTCTTCAGCTACAGTTTTCCAAAAGACATATGGTGCTTTGTATGAGTGTTTGTGATTTTGCCTCTGTGTAACATTAAATCTTGACTCAGAAAAGGCAGGGTTAAGTTAATTAAAAGTGAGCTCCAGTTCTCCCACTAATATATAGAAGAATGAATCACTCTTATATGGCACATCAAGTGTGGACTTTCTCACCTCTGGGTTAGACAGTGTTTTGGGGCAGGTACTAAGTGTCCAGTCAAGTCCAGATTGACTCCTCTAAATGAATACAAATAATGCCAAGATTCACAGTTGGTTTTTAAAGACATCCATATTCTTAAGATGCCAGGAGGACAGGTAGCAGGCCTTGCTTCTCTACCGAAGTATTTAGGAGTTCAACTGGTATCGATTCCCAGACAGAGAACCATTCTACTCTGATATCGGAGTCCTGTCGGGTGCCGGTTGGCAAGGGCAAACTTTTCTCAGAAGCAGAGCTTTGAATCTGCTCATGCCCTTGTACAAATTTTCATGGAGTATTCAGAATTCTGATCCATAATGCATAGGAAAATTTATTTATTTGAGCTTGAGCAATTTAAAAGGCACGTGTTCCCAATGATCTTTCTGAACCACAAAGGAGGCTCAGGATGATGTCTGTAGATTGTCTAATTTTGGGCAGACCTACTTTGAGGGGGCCCGTCAGGAAGCATTAGCTCCACAGAAGAACCGTAAGTAGCTGTGTCGTCTTATGATTAGGGTTATTCAGTGTTGCTTATTTAAAGAGGTGTGGGATTCTCGCCAAGTATAACAACTTTTGTTTTTAGTCTAGTTGATGCCATGATTTTCTTTTTCATAGTACTGAGCCAGCAAGTTCAGTTTCAGCCTAAGGCCTCTTGTAGTGTAATGATTATAAAACCGTATTATGAGCATAATGCTTATCCTTCTTCTGTCATGGGAGGAAGGCATGCAGCCTGCTGATAGTTGCAGCCTTGAATTTACTATTAAAAAAAAAAAAGTAGAAAAGAGAAAAAAAAAAAAAAGGAGGAGGAGTGGTTTCAAATCATTGAGTAGAAAAAATAGCCCATGTAATAAGTAGTGTTGAGATGACCATGATAGGTGTTGGGGGAAAAGAAAGAACTGGATTTCCTACCTTGCTTCTTAGACCAAAACAAGTTCCAGATTAAAGGTTTAAAAAAAAAAACAAACTTGTATGAACCTTAAAAATATGACTGAACATTTTTATAACATTGAGATAAGGAGGGCCTTTCTAAGAATGGCTCAATGTTAGAAATCAGGTACAAAAAAAAAACCTTGTAAGTTTGACTACATAAAATTTCAAACCTCTTATCGATAAAACTATCATAATCAAGGCTGAGAGAGACACATGACCAACTCAAACAGTTGCAATGCAGCTTACAAAGGGTGTCTGTTCCAGGTTGGCCATGAGTTACTACAGATTAGCCCCGAAGAGAGCTGTTTACAAGATTTTACCATTCTACCTACCCAACCACTTCCCCTCTACTTAGCAGAGAAAACAGAAGCCATCAGACAGGAACTTTCTTAACTTCCCGTGTTCTCTCCTTTGCCACCTGCAAACTTATAGGCATCCTTCCCTTCCTTCCTGCTTCCTGTCTCAGATGATGGGATAAGACTCCTCTCCAAGCCTAATTCTTCCACCTGCTTCCTTCAGGATCCCCCTCCTTCCTGACTCCCAAGAGACCCCACTCTTCCTCCTGTGACTATATCTGTTTCCTTTCTTCTGGCAGGATTCTCTCAGATCATAAACCTGCTCAAGCCTTTGTCTTAAAAACAAAAACAACAAAAACCTTTTTAAATGACCATACACTCCTTCCCCTGCCATCACCGTCAGTCTCCATGAAAAGCTGGTCTTCCCTCACCGTCTCTACTTCCTTGCATTCCATTTGCTCTTCAGGCTGCTTCTGTCCCCACAGCTCAAATGAACTTTCTCCCTCGTAGTCACTAGTGCCCAACCTGGGTCCCGTAACCCCTGTTTTATTACTCAGCGTGAGAGAAATTAAAAATGAAACACCTATAACCTTTTAAAAATTAGAAGTAAGCTGATATGCTTAGCATAGAAATGTGCCATGCTGAACAGAAAAAAGAAAAAAAGGCTAAGATAACTTAATAGGTGGACTTGGTCTTAGCACTGAGGCTATTAATGGGACATCCAAAAGCCCCTTCTTTCTTACAAATTATACCAGGACATCGTCAGTCTTCCCAAAGTGGCTAAAGCCACTGGCCACTTTTCAGAATCTTTCCTTACTTCCTTTCAGCATGTAACACCATTGATGACCCTTCCTGAAAATCCCACGTTCTTTGGTCTGTTCCGACAGTGTTCTCCTGAGTTATATCCTTCTTCTCCTTTGAGGACCCTGCTGTCTTTATCCACACCGTACACGTGGGTGTTGCTATGGATTTCATCCTTGGCCATCATCTGTGACTCCTCCGGTCTAAAACCATCTCAGCTACTTCCATGGGTTTGCTCACCATCACGTCTCTGTTGCTGATGGCCACACTGGCTTTCCAGCCCAGAGCTTTTACCAGCCTACTGACCATCCACAGCTGGCTTTGCCAGGGACACCTCAAACTTAGCAGGTCCCAAACGGAGCTTTTCTCTTGGGTTTTTCCTAATTGAGAGATCTCGGGCAGTTCCAAGGCTTTTTTATATTGCAAAATCCCATGCTCCAGCCTTTACTAAGGTACATATTGTCTGAATATACCTGAACTTTAACAACAACAACAACAAAAAAGGTGTTTTTAAGATATTTTAGACTTACAGAAGAGTTGCAAAAAATAGTACAGAAAATTCCCATATACCCTTCACCTAGCTTCTCCTTATGTTAACATCTTACATAACCTTAGCATATTTATTGAAACTAACCTTTATGCGGTACTTGAATTTCACGAGGTTTTCCACTAATGTCATTTTTCTGTTTGGGAGTCCAATCCAGCATCCCACATTGCACTTAATTGCCATGACCCTGGAGTCTCCTTTATGTGCTTTTCTTCTCCCAGTGCCTTGATAGCTACCATTTCTTCCACATAAAAGGCCTTTTCCTCTCTTGCCTGCTTGGTGAGCCTCTTCTTCTCTGTGACTGAAGGCAGGCAGCCCCTTCCCCAGCAGGGCTGGAATCCAGTGGCCCTTATCACAACTTTGTCATGGGTACTAAGTGCAGAGGTCAGAGGTATCATGCCCTCAGGGACAGGGACTGTGTTTATTTCCTTGGTACATTTTTTTTTTTTAAGATTTTAT